AAATCAAGTTCAACGAGATACCAACACTAGACTATAAATCATGTATTTCACTCCTTACGAAAAACTTCATCAACGCAGCAGACCTGACCACATCATTTGACAAAAATAAACAAAATAAAATAAAATAAAATAACAAAGTTAGGCAATTTTGGAGCAACAATCATAATAGATGGTGTTGATACCCAATTTGGCTCCGCTCCGATTAATTAAATGATAAACGAAATAATAAAGTACGGCCCGATAACCAAGGAGCCAAAAATACATGATGAATAAATATACAAACATGTACGCAAGACTGATCATCTAAAAGCCGACTGGGTCCCCAAAAGGCGAGTACACCCGTTGGCGAACCGAGCATAGTTCAAAGTAATCGCATATATATCAAGAAAAAGCCACCTTCGAAAACACGACCATTTCCGAGAAGACAAACGCCAATTGGAACCGTTACAAGTCAACAACGGACCCGCTATGATTACTCCCATGAAATAATGATGTACCATTTTTTACTTATTGAACTACCCACTTGCAAAAGGAGAGGGGTATATATATGTACAAATGAAGGGAGAGAAAGGTCTTCTATTCACTCTTCTCCTCCCAACATCCAAAAGAGGAGAAAATCCTTTCATGAAATAAAAAGAAACACGCACACATTTTTAAGCATCTTGCACTTCATTTCCTATAAGAAATTCGAATCTTATTAACAATTGATGTCCGATTTTCGACATCAACAGATGGCATGGCAATTAAACTTTCAGTTTCCATTTAGTAGAATATGCAATCCATAATTATGATTTTTCATTTCTAATTAAACAAAATCAGATACGCAAACTCGCGTTTTGGGTAAATGAAGGGACAAAATCAGTTATATCAACAAAATAAGGTACCAACAAGAACACATTAAAACCGACAAATCTTTCTTCTCCGTTTGTTTTTTTTTTCGGGCGACTTCACCGACATACTGCCGGTCTTTTCGGTGTGCAGATCGGTCCACTCCAGCGGAACCTCCGGTGAAAGAACATGTGGGATTTGGCAGAGATGGATTTGGGGCCGAGCTCATTGTTTTTCAATGCGACATGAAGGGAAATTTATTGAGGAGACGACATTTTTCATTTTTTTCAATACCGAAGGAAATGGGTAGGTTCTGTCAAATTGGTTGGTACAATTTGAATTTAATATTATAATTCAAATAAATGAGGAGGGACATGAGCTGTTGCGTGGGCCCGCTATTAAAAGTAAAAAGGCATAAATATTTCTTAAACAATCGTCATTAATTTACTTTCTTGTATTATTTCATTTTGGACAAATTAATCTATAAACAAGCAAGCGTCAATTCTTTATTTTTTTTCCCAACGACATAAGTAACTCCAATAAAACGGCCCAAACACGGGCAATGTTTACACGAAAAATACCCCAATCCTGGGTAACTTGGGAGGACATGCTAAAAGCAAGTCTATATCAAAGAAACAATAAACCCAACAATACATACTCCACAGAAGGATCAGAACAACAAATAAAACTACAACCGGTTACAGGGGAAAAAGAACAGAAAAACATGGACCGAAGTACACTACCAACTAGACATCACCCACCAAAGACAGACACCAACAAGCATTACAACCCACTGACTAGAGACTCTAACCTTGCCCATGTTGTCACTCATTTGTGTTGTTGGTTTTGAACTCAAGCCAATCCCTTAAGGCTGCTTTGATGATCCACTCCTCCGGTTACCATTGTTCCTCAAATACCCACAAATTCCGAGCTCTCCAGAGTCACCATTGTGCTAATCCACCACCACCATTGCTTAAATGTCAACTTTTCTGCCAGCATTCTATTCCATTGGACAGGAGCAAGCTGCTACACTCTCATTGCTTTCCTGCAAAAGAAAAAAAAAACATGCTCCTGGGATTAATTCTAACTCCTCCCCACACACTCCACAAACATCCTCCACCAACATACCTCTCTTATGCAGGTTTGTGCTAACAGGGAGGATACTAGAGAAGGGCTCTCCAGATCATATGCTTCACTTTGCCCATGACCTTAAGATTCCAACGTCTTCTTCTAGCATTGCTGTTTCCTCCTGCTAAAGCACTGCTCTCAGCCGCAGACCTTGAGATCAAAGTGCTAGCAAGCAGTTTAGCATAAGTCTGTTTAACAGATAATTTCCCCTTAACCAACTGTTCACATTGCCTTTGATCAGACACCCTGTGATTAAGAGATTTAATCTGCAGAATTTTCTCAGCTACCTCAGGAGAAAACAAGGCTCCAACTAGAGTACTACCCCACTGAACTCCCCCAGCCAAGAGCAGGAATTTCACCTTGAAGAGATTCTCATCCACTCCCACTCTGAGTTTAGGCTTCACACTATGATGCCCAAGCACCCAGTTAGAGTCATTCAATCTAGTAGACTGCCTATCTCTAATAGTAATCCTGGTAAACTTGTGCAACACAGGTAGAAAAGATGCCCAAGATGACCACAACCAGAAAGCACCCCCTGTGTTTTGCCAATCAAATATAGAGCAGTCATTAAAATATTTGTGCCTCAAAATTCTACACATAAGAAGGTCAGGCTGTTCAATGAGTCTCCACAATTGTTTTAAGATCAGGGCCTTGTTGAACAATTTCAGGTCTTTGAATTCTAACCCACCCTCACTTTTAGGAACAACAAGCTTGTCCCAAGAGAGCCAGTGCATCCCCTTATCATTGTTATCTCCTTTCTACCACCAAAATTTAGCCATCAACCTACACATCTCCTTACACACACCAACAGGCAACACAAAACATGACATGACAAACACATGCAGAGCATTGAGCACATGCTTCACCAACACCTCCTTTCCTGCTGTTGATAACAACTGATTTTTCCAGCTACCAATTTTATCCCTCACATCAACAACAAATTGAATAGTATCAATTTTAGAAGCACCAATTCCTAATGGGAGCCCCAGATACTTGGATGATATTTTTATAGTCACCCCATCAAACAAAGCAACAATTCTGGCATTAAGGTCTGCAGTACCATTTTTGCTCAAAAAGCAGAAGGACTACTGCAAGTTAACTTCCTGACCAGTGAACAACTAGTATTTATGAAGACACTCCAGCAATATGCCTGCATTCTCCTCATCAGCTTTACAGAACACAATAACATCATCAACAAACAACAAGTGGGACACCATAGGCCCATTTCTAGACACTTTCAGCCCTCTGAAGACACCAGCAGAAACTTTGTGATTAAAAAAGATGAGAACACCTCAGAGATCAATATAAAAATATAGGGGGACAAAGGATCCCCTTGTCTAATCCCCCTTGAAGATTTCACATAGCCACACACCTTACCATTCAAGTTGAAAGAGAAAGAAGGGGCAGAGATACAATTCATAACCCACTGAATAAATTTAGAATGAAAACCCATTCTCCCCACCACTTTCCTGATACAATCCCATTCAACCCTATCATAAGCCTTCTCCATATCTAATTTTATAGCCATAAAAATATTGGGCCCAGACCTATGTCTATGAAGGTAATGAAACAGCTCATGGGCAATAACCACATGATCAATCAGAAGTATACCTGGCACAAAACCAGTTTGGGTATGACTGATACAATCATCCAAACAAGGTTTCAATCTATCAGCTAACAGTTTTGAAATGATCTTATATAGCACTCCATACAAGCTTATTGGCCTGAAATTGCTCAAAGACTCTGGATACATGCATTTGGGAATCAGAGTGATAATAGTATGCTTCAAAATCTTTAGCAGATGACCAGAAGAAAATAAGCTACATATAGCACTACATACATCATCTTTCACAATGTGCCAGAATTTTTGGAAAAAAACAGCTGTCATACAACCATCACTAGGATCTTTCTCAAGAGCCATGTTGAAGACCACAACTTTAATTTCATCCTCCAGGAAAGGTTTGAGCAACTCAAAATTTGCAGCATCATAAATAGTAACAGGAATGTGCTGTAAC